ATCACAAGAGATGGTTAATTTGTTTGATTGTCGTTTGCATAAATATTAAAATAGACTAAATTGAACTTGAATAACAATAAAAGGGAGGTTAGGGAATTGAGTTCACCAAGACCTTGTAATTATGCATGCTTATAAGTAATTTGAGGATATAATTATGTGTGATATGCAAGGTGTAAAAATATCAAATAACTACAACACTTTTTTAGAAAATCATGTAAGTCAAGACTAAGCATAACCCATCTGCGGTTGGCATGGCTCATCCACCTAAACTAGGGTGTGGTATGAGCCATCTTCCCTAAGCATGGCCTATCAAGGTCTTTGACATTACAAGTTTTAGCACATGAAATAACTCATCTGGTATAAACTATCTTTGGTTGGCACAGACCATCTACCTAACTACATTAATCTAAGGTTGTAGTACGGTCCGTCTTCCGTTGGCATAATCTATCTAAATTCATATAAATCATGCCTATAAACTCATTTCATGAATAGCAATTTCCATTGTCACATATGAAAATATCAAGTGTATAAATATATAACCATGCTTTCTAAGACAAGAATTACATGATACATTTACCTATATATATATTCTGCAAAGATTGTAAATCAATTTTAATGTAAGAAAACACAAATTGAATAATACATCATTTATCTTTATTCATAAAACTCATCACATACAAGAGCTTTCCCCAATTTACATTACAAAAACTACATAATCACTTAATCAAGGCTACCTCAATCCCATAGAAGGGGATTTAACTCATCCTGGTGGTGGTAGGAACTTCGCTCAAGAATCCCAGCTATTTCTTACTTTCTCTCTTTAGAAACCTCTAATTCTCTTTCCAAAAATGATATATGATATGAGATATATTTTGATACAATGTAAGGATAGGTATATAACCCCCCTCTGCCAGAATTTAGTTCAAAAACCCATTAAACTCGTGCATTCAAGTGAGGATGAGAGAGAAAAGTAACTGAAATTTCATTTGAAATTCGAATCTGGGGATTTGCGTCCATACGCAAGGAAGTGCGTCAGAACGTATAGTGTCTGAGGCTTCCTTAGCGCGCGCGCAGGGTGTTGGCTTCGCAGGCTTGTCGCATCGGGAGTCTGGACGCATGACTGCACATCCGGACTCAAATTCGTGATGCTACTAGAATTTCACTTTTTAACATTTAGAAATTGATGGTCACGATTTGTGAAGGGCGTCCGAACGCAAGAAATGCACTAGGAAAGTGCGTCCGGACGTATGGCTTGATTCCTTGAAGTTGAAATTTCCTTTTGCTTAGCTTTTCGGGCCTGACTTCATTCTCAAGCTGAGTACGATCTTTAGGCTCTAAGTCCATTTTGCCAAGTTCCATAGCTCTCCAATTCCCTTGTCTATAAAAAGCCATTAAATTCCCGCTTTTACACCATTTTAGCGATAAGCCCTGAAAATGACAATTAAACATAAAACTATATAAAACATAATTTATTAACACTCAAAATAGATTAAAAAAATGCAATTAAGGGCACTTGAATATGCAATATTCAGCGTTTATCAATCTTCTTCTCTATTTTCGACAACCTTCAAGCTATCTCTAGTCACTCTCTACTTCACTCTCTAGATCTCTGCCTCTTTTATAACTCAAGTATTTGTAAAAATCATCTTCTTCTGACTACTACATATATATATATATATACACACACACAAACTAACCCACAAATCCTAACCTAAGTCTAACTAAAATAAAAATAAATAATACTAATAATACTAATAATTTAAAATAATCTCATTAACCAATTTAAATCAAATAGCCACTTAATCATTTAATAAGAACAATTAGCCAAATAAAATAATTAAAGTGTAATTAAATAATAAATTAAATACTCTAAAAATTAGGGGTATTACATATACCTTTTCCAACTTTCCAAAATAGTCGGCTTTAAGAGCCACCCGATCGTGAATGGCTTAATCGGCGACGGTGCTAAGCCAAGCGGGCCAACCAAAAGCTTAAAGACTAGCCGCCACCACCACAATTGTGAGAACTATCCCTCCCGGATTCATTCAAATTGCTCCCACTCAATCTAACTTACTCTTCCTCATCTTCTTTAATCCGTCTGTATCATCGTTTTCTCAATCTTAAACCCTGGAACAATTGTGAATGCCACCTAAAACTCGTCGTCTCCTCCATCGTACGAGGCAGCGAAGAGCACCTCCTCCTCCGTCATGTTCTCCATTTACAACTCTGAAGACCTACTCTTCTTTCTCACCTGAAAGACGTTCAAATCTGGATAGTACGAGAACAAGAACACCAAGCAACACAAAAGCCAAACACACCTCACCATTTCTACAAACCATGCGAAGAATGCCATTTCTTGATAATCTCCTAATCACTTTTCGTTGATTCAAATCCCTAAAACTTGGCGCGTTTGTGTTGAGCGAATGGGTCTAGGGTTTTGATTGGGATGTGCTTACAAAATCACATCCATCGGCGAGCACATCCAATGGCAAGATTGGAGAAAGGGAGGAAAAAGGGGGATTACACAGATTTGATGTTTTATGGTTGAATGACATGGGTTATTTTGGTCATTGAACACAACTGATATTTTGTGAATATAACATAATAAAATAATAAGGGGCAATTATGACATTTTAAATGGGAGAGGGTGTCTCTGTCAAAAAATTTGTTGACTTGCATATAGGTGACATTAACCAGAACCTCAGTGGTGTAAATGCAATTTACCCTAACTTTTAATTAATATTTTTGTAATTTTAAAATAATAATTATAACTTTTAATTTAATATTAAATAGCAAAGTCAAATTTGATATTTCACAGCCCATTTAATGGGTCGGTCACGGATTTAGAGGTAACTTCATAAGTTTTGCTAGTTCATAGATTTTATTTATTTATTTATTTTACTAAGATTTTATACATGATTTTGAAAGTACAGAGGGTTTTATAATTTTAACCCGTATATATATATATATCACTTTAATTGTTTAAATAAATGCATTGTTTTTTTTTTTTTTTTTTTTTAACTTGCATTCCTTTAAAATAAAAAATAAAATGTACCATTTATATGTATATATATTTTTAACTATTACTATCAAATATTGCATTCATATGGGATTGACAGGACAACTAACAAATATTATTATTTTCTAACATAAAAGAAATAATATATTACTCACAAATCAAACAGAGATTTCTTACGTATCAAATTAAAATTTTATTATCGCACCATTCAATGGCTTTAGCATACGTAAAAAATATTAAAACGTTTTTATACACAAATATTATATCTATATATACATATAGAATAATGTATTAATTTATTCACATATGTTGGTACTAAATTTTAAATTTTGTTACTTTCTCGTTCTTGATCTCGTGTAACTTAGGTTGATCCTCCCCCTATCTAATTCAATTTCATATCTTTATATAAAATAAATTTGAATATATGAAACTTCTTAACGTCATCTCATAATTCATCATAATTCATCACCAAATACATTTAGGCTTCTGTCCAACGTTGTGTGACACACTTGTACGTGTATGTGTTATGCTACATCATTTATTATTATTTTTTACCAAAATCAATGTCAAAATTATTTGATAAGTTTTCTTCTAATAAATCACTTTACGCATCTATAAACTTTTAAAATGATTTTACATCCATAACTAGATGTTTGTGTGACATATGATGAAAATTTATTTTAAAAATATTTAAACATATAAGGGAAAATTGTGTTAATCTCTACTTATATATTGAGAAAATATAGATTTCCCAATGAAAAGACGGAAAAAATTGTATTCTTAAGTAATACTACTCCCAGACCTCCCAATATAATACCCAATCCTAGGAAAACTAAAAGAGGGAAGTCATATCCACACTTCACTTTTTAACATTTATACTATAATCTTAAATGAAATGGTAATTATAATATAAACATTACAAGTAAATAGTTATTACTTTTTAAATGACACAATTACCCTTTCATATTTTCTTATCTCTAATCTTTAATATTTTAAGTATTTTTTGACAACACAAATAAAATAAAATAAATTTTTTTTAAGGGACCAAAAAAAAAAAAAAACTTTGTTATATTGAATAAATTGCCTCTTTTGACTGGATCAAAAATCAAAAAAATAAAAAGTAACTATTTAAAAAAATTATCTCTTTTGACATGAAAAAAAAAAAAAAAAGCCCAAAAAATATATTTATTGAAAAAATTATTTCTATTGTCAATATCCCCAAAAATAATAATAATAAAAAGTACAAAACGAAGATGATTAAAAAAAAAAATTTATCACTATTGAATAAATTATCTCTTCTGATAAGACCAAAAAAAAAAAAAAAAAAATTTATTTTTATTAAACATATATTATTTCTTTTGACAGGACCCATAAAAAATTACCAAAAATAAAGTTACTTCTTTTGACAGAATTGATTTTGCATTAATAATTTTAAGGGCCTTCTTGTCATTTCTTTTAAAAGAAAATGATAAATGGAGTGTAACTGAAAAAGAGTGGAATACAAATATGGTCTCCCTGTATTTAAATAAAGAAAAATGATATTTACATTTTATTTTCCTACTTTAGCACTATGCTTTATTTAAAAGAAAATTACATAATATCATTTCAAAGCATTCTCACCCATCACAAATACACAATCATTGTAAAACACTCCCAATTTTATAATTATAATTATATATTACGTTGACATTACAATTTTGTAATAGATTTCTTTTAATAAAAGAAATCACAAAAATTACCTCTCAAACGTGAAATGCAAGAAAGTGTAAAATTATTTTTTAAAAGACAATGGTGTTAATTTTTATTTTAGTATATATTAAAACAAAAAAAAAAAAAAAAGAAGAAGAGGAGGAATATTGTCATTGTCATCAATCAAAAAAATATAAAAAAATAAAAAATAAATTGTATTGTAAATATTCCATCTATTATATATAAATTTATATATTGGTGACCACAACATTTGAAAGCGAGCTAAAGAATATGGAAATAACCAAAAATAAATAAATAAATAAATAAGAAAAGAGACATTTCCATTCCAGTGGAACAAAATGACATTAATACCCTTATTCCTTAGTGGAATTTAGGAAACAGACCCTCCAACAATCAACATTTTCATTCAACCCTCTAAAAATACAGGAAGGTTAACGCTATATCTTATACTATCTCTCTCTAGATTTTCATTTCTTCAAACTTTGAGAATCTTCGCCGGTCTGACCACCGGATTTTCCCTCGCGATCGCCTCCCTGCCGGCGGCCTTGTAATCGAAACTACACTCGTGCCGATCCGAGTACCGGTGCACCGGACAGAACAGCTCGCCGCACCGGCACCGGAATCCGGTCAACCCTACCCTCCTCCGACATCCGGCGCACCGGTTCACCTCCAACCTTCTACGCACAACCGCTTTATCCGAAGCCCGCATATTCCGATCCGATCTATCCGGCGAAGGATCTGCCTTGGGAGGCGTACAGATCGTCAGATCCGGCGGCGGATCCGAGTTGTCCGGCGACCTCGGCGTGGTGGTGGAGATGAGGTCATCGGTGGCGGGGAGCTTCGGCGGAGGAGGAATCGGGGTGGTGCAAGAGGATGAGGTTAGGAATTCGGGGAGTTTGAGCTTCTCGGTCTCCTCTTTCTCTCTCTTCTGAGCCATATTTCTTTCTCTTTTTTTCAGGTGTTGTGAGGAGAGAGAGTGTTGAGATGGGGGAGAAATAGTGGCTTTTGGGTGATGGAAATGGAATGAGAATTTTGTGTTGAGAGTTTATTTGCCCAATGTTTGCCAGCTTTTTGATACAAAATAGAATCTTTTCTTTGTTTAGAATTATAAAATATTAGATAATATCTTTATTTATTTGCAATTTCTAAGTAAAGATGGAAATTATAAAAAATGTTTTTATACATTACTGATATAATAAAATGTTTTTATTAAATTAATCATTAAGTCAATTTTATTCTTGGCTAATATTTTTATTTCTTGTTTTTTTATTAATACTGTAACGAAGCAAAAATACGAAATATGTTTGGTAACGTTTGTTATTATTTAAATAATACTAAAGTGCTTCCAATATTGATCCTAAAATCGGAAGTATAAAAATGATGTTTTTGTTTTCAAACTTGTAAAATTTTTACCAAACATGTTTTATGTTTTTACTTTTAAAAATCTTGAAACAAATTTACGTTATCAAACAAGATTCAAAATAGTATTGAACACACTCTAAAATACAGACACTGCTTTTACTTCGGGTCAAAGCAAAAGTGGTTATCAAACATGCCCTATTTGTCATTACATCATCTACACCCTTATATTTTTTGATAAAAAAGAAAAAAAATTAGATAGAAAGAAGAAGACAAATTTGAGTAAGAAGAAAAAACAATTGGATGCAAGGGAGAGGAAAAGGGATATATGAGACATTCTTGTAAAAGATATTGTGATTGTGTCATTCTGGTTTTTTCTTTCTATTGTATGGAAAAGAAGATAATAAAAATTAACAACACATTGTGTTAGTTAGTAGAGAAGAAAAAAGAGAGTTTTAAATTATTTTTACTATTGTACATTCTACACCTATCAGTATCTATGAAGAATAATATTGTAATTCAAAATTTTTATAATAACTCTACTTGTTTTTTTATCATCTCATTCTTCTATAGTTAAACGGATAAAAATTTATGAAAGAGGAATGATGACATTCATATTATTATTTTTATTTCGTTGTCTCCTTTCTACCGAGCGAACAAAATTTGTTCATTACTTTTTATCTTCCATCTATTCCTCTTACTTCATTCGTACATAACGATGCATTACACTTTGGACAGTAAAAATATATCATTTGATTACAATTAACCTTGGTGAATTAATTGTATGTGTATTATGCATATAGTCCTTATTTAGTGCATGAGTATTACAATCAATAACATTGCGCAAATTACAATGAAGTAGACCAAATTAGGAGTAGCGAGACTGAAGTTAGCGTGATCGAAATGTCCTTGATCATGTTCGTGTGTTAATCTAATTAATCTGTTTTAATTAATCGTATATTTTTAGAGTTTGGAAAATCAACCCACTTGATTAAATTTTACCTACTTAACTAATGGTGTTATGTCAAATAGTCAACTCGAACAAACCAGCGATCCGTTTCAACTTGCATAATAGGTAACCTAAAACAATAGGTTAATTGCGTGATTTATTGTGTTAAAATAGAAAAATTAATTATTTCAAAATTCATAATTTATAAAAGTAAATAATTTGTTAAATAGGCGAAGATGTTAGTTATTTATTAAACGTTTCAAATTTAACAAATTGTATTTGGGTTGCCACTTATAACAATATGTATATATCTGACAATACGAACACAACCCACCCGTCAACACAAATTATCACTTGTAAACTTAATAACATTGGTATTATATATTTATATGAAATGACATGCAATTTTATTGGGTAAATTATAGTAATATCTCTTGAGATTTATCATAATTACATGAACCTTCCTTATAGTTTTCAAAATTACTCTAACCTCCTTTAAAAATAAAACCTTGTTACACATACCTTCCTTATTATCTGTCAACGTTCGTCAACATGGAAATTGTTGATGCCATATACTTAATATATTTTAAATACCAACATTACCCTTGATTGAATTGAAATACATTTTGAACCTTATAAAATAATGTGCAATTACAAAACAGTCATCGTCCCTTGCAATATAATTACTACAGCGTCTTTCACATCTTATTTTCAATCCATTGCACTCACCATAACAATTCTCTCAAGCTCTTCAATAAAGTGAATTTAGAAGTTAAGGAAGAAGATGATGTTTCAAAGACTATGTCACAATGTATTTGAAGAAAAATGACCATGACTTGAACTTCAAATTAGGGCTTAAATTTTAGGATCAATTTTCAAGGATTACTAATTGACATTGGGTATGCCTTCGTCGCTCAAAAGTCCCTTTAATCTTGCCTCAGTCTCTTTTCTCCATAGTTTAGGGTGGAGTTTGAGTGGCCCATTAATACAAGCAGTGAAAACACTCCAACATCGACCAGCATTAGAAAAGGCTTGCAGTGCTTAAATATATATCTACACACTTACATACACCATTTCTCTGTAGATGCATATATCCTTTCTTTGAAGTTGGAGGGTTGGAGTAGTGGTTCCTATTATGGTGATTTGATCCTGATCATGACTTACAGTACTTAAAAGCTCCCAAGGCCTTCAATCTAACATCCTTGATATGAAAATAAAGTTTATGCCAACTTTAGACTCATTTTAGAAATTAGATCTGAGAAAATAAACAAAGTAATGAATGCGAATATGCATGCCAGTTAGACCTGTCAATGGATCCGAATCCGATCCGATTATGTAACGACCCAAACCCGGGGTCCGAAATGCTAATCGGGTTCTTACCCGAACCTGAGGACATACAAGGGTAAGATGGTCATTTTAAGGTAAGAGAGAGAAGTGGGTTGACTCTAAATGAGTCAAAGGAAGTTTATCCATGCCCTTATGTCCTTAGTAACTCATTTCGTAAAGTTCTAGATGAAGAACGATGATTTCACACAAATGACCCTTCATAGTCCAGAAGGCTCTCGGAGTAGCCCTCACCAACTAAGCCGGCTTCTTTGCCAACTGAGCCGACTCAGTTGCCAAAGAAGTCAAATTCTTTGGACTGAGAGCAAGTTTTTTTAAAAAAAATGGGCTCTAGATGAACTAAGTCAACTCATTCTCTGAATAAGTCGACTTCTTCCTTGGAATAGGCCTAAAATTTGCAGAAAAACCTCACCGGAAATGCCTTTGTGCATTTCTGACCCATACCATACATCCTAAGGTCTCAAAATTGAAATCTAGGCATCCCAATGATGGAACATAGCATGGAAATAATTATACCACATGTATGAACAAGTGTGACATGCAAATTACAAATTTGAACATACAAAGCAAGCTATAAGTTGTGAAAATCACGTGACTCTCCCTTTCATGCATTTTTAAAACCATTTGAAACATTCAAGTCCATTTATAATTAAAACAATAACATGCTTGGTAATATACACTGATAAAATAACATTTTTACATTCCCCTTGAAATGACTTCTAAATAATACAAATTTATGCCACACTTCACAAAAAAATAGTCGTGGTTACAAAAGATGACCAAAATAAACTCTATACCTACATCTAAGTTGGTAAGAATGCCCCATCCACCTTCTCATTCCCAAGTCCTGAATTTTTGTTAAGTAAAGGGGTGAACACCATCGCTCAGTAAAGTATGCTTAAGGCATGGCTCTTAAAGCCCCATGAATAAACATATATAGAAAAGGGAAATCAAGGTAAGAGGATCATGCTATTACGGGGAAATAACGAAATCAACAATACATGGCATTAGTAACAATACATATATGCATCAACATCATCATATTCACACACATACACAAGTCCACCACAAAACTAATAATGCAATCAATATTTATACCATGAATTCACTTCGAACTAATCCCATGATCCTATCTAATACACACAATAACACTTTTTTAACCAATCCATCTCACTACATAAAACCACACTAGAGGCCTCTAACTCCAAATGGCACATGTTCACCGCTTGTCCACCATTTGGAACACTAGTTAGCTATCCCTAGCGTAAAAGCACCACTTATCACCATTTGGGGCCTAGCTACCGAAATCTCGGAAACAAGACTACCGTTTGTCTTTCGTCCATCACAATTCCAGTAACTTGAAACCTCAACCTTTTCACATTGCCCTTTCCCTCACACATTCTCTACACAATGCATGAACTAAAAATACCTCAATAATTGCCCGCCTTCTAACTTAAAATGGTTAACTCCTAGCTAGCATCATGAAATGCATATGCCATCCAGCAACATTAAATCTACATTATATAAACATACTTCAATCTAAACAAAACTCAACGAACTTCTTCATGAAATCAACTTGTCAAACATCAAACATGCTTAAAATCAAGAAGGCTATATCCAAATCATGTTATACACATACTTTACCAATTTCATTATAAAGCATTTATAATTTTCTTATTTTAAGCATGCTTCCACATAATCATTCTAGCATACAAAATTGGCACATTTACATCATCTAATGCATACTAGCAATTTTTCACACAGATGACATGTAAAGTACGTGATTAAACATCAAATATACATGGCAAAGATTTGAATTGTTATATAATTGAGCAATTCCTTAAAAACATGGAATTTATAGCATGCCATATCACACAATCATCACATAAGGACTCACAAAAATCTAAGACTACATGAAATAGACACCCTTACCTCAAATTACAATAAAAACCCTAATCCCACCGAAATTAAAATGCTCCTTTTACGAAACCGGCTCCGTATGATGAAAGAGGAGGCAAATGAGATCAAATCATCTTTTTATGGCACCTCCAAAATCCGAACTTCACATTCACCTAAAATATCCAAAACGCTCCAAATCAAAATCCTAGACCATAGGCTCATAGTTCTCGTTGCGTTCGTCAAACTATCCTTCTACGGTATCATCAAATTCCAACCCGAGCTAGATCGATTTCATACCTAAAACATGTGAAAAGTAAAAGGAAAGAAATTGTGGGGGAGAGAGAAACCCACGTAGAGAGAGAAAGGCTAAAATGGTTTGTGGCCAAAAATTAATCCAAGGCCCCTATTATAATGCTAATCAAATGGTGGGTCTTGATGAGCATTGAAAAGTGCGTATTTAAACCCCTTAAGCTTAGGCATTCTAGTACCTTTATCTATCTTATTTTACTGTTTTAGATTGATT